CCTTCAGTATGAGTCTGGCACCCAGGTTGCATAAAATCAAAAATGATAGAACAGAGTCTTTGTAGGAGACACAGGTTTTTTTTTTTTTAAGATTTATTTATTTATACAAGAACTGGGGTACAGTCAGAGGCACAGGAAGGTGAGAGAATTCACCAGAGACAGAGCAGGGAGCACAACAGGCAGATGGACTGAAGACACTGCTGAGGGGAGCAGCAGGCAAGGCAGGAGAAGTCTGCCATGCCATGTGAGTTTCTCCCTGGCCCCTCGGGAATTGAACCTGCCGCTGCAGAGGCTGTGGACAGCTTCACAGCATGGTGCTCAACCCGCTACACCACTGGGGAGGCCCTAGAAGACACAGTTTTAAATGGACATCATTTCTGTTGCATTAAGTTCACTGACTATATAATGTGTATGCACACGTGACATGGATCTGGTTCTGTTCTCTAGAACATTGCTGCCATGATCCAGTACAGCATTGCACTGGGTTCCGAGCTAAGCCCCTGCTTACTGTCAGCTCTTCTGTGCTTTCTCCTGTCAGAAGCTGCACACTGTTTAGTAATCTGGTAATAAAGCTAACTTCATCCTCCTCAGCTCCTCAACTGCAGCTGCCTTCTTTGCCTAGTAGTAGATTAAAAAAAGGTATGTTATTAAAACTCAGGGGTGAGATTCCCACTTAATTATCATGGTGACAATTGACCTTTTTCTTTAAAGTGCCATGTTGAGTTCATTCTTTGAGAGACTACTAATTTTAGTTGTACCTTACTTACTGCTTCTATCTAATAAAACCTGGCATGCATGTAGGATGCTGAGGCAATGGTATGTTATATTCGGTGAACATTTAATTTAACATTTAGCTTATGTGCCTATGCTCTTTGACTTGATTTTCTGCTCTGTAATGATCCAATTTTCTCCTTCACCTCTTGCACTTGTAGCAAGAAGAAAAATGGCGTGTTGTTTTTACCCCTTCTGTGGCAGCATGCTTCTTGCTGAATGTGTCAGACTGCACTTCTACCTGCCCTTGGTTAGCACACATAAATTATCATACTGTTGCATTTAACTGTTACATTTCTTCCTATTTTTTCAGCATTAAATATAAACACCCAAATTGCCAGTAACACTATAAAATGTATATACTACCTCTGTTAAATTTTCTGCTGCCAAGGAATGTTGCCAGTTAGGCATCTCTGCCCTCTCTGTGTCAGAGAGCAGAGGAAAGTACATTTTCAATACTAAGGAACCTTAAAAGTTCCCTTCCTGCCTAGGTGAAGTTTCAAGGTTCCATTTTTTTTAGATTTATTTATGCATACAAGAACTGGGGTACAGGCCAGCAGCGTGGGGGGTGAGAGGATTCATCAGAGACTGAGTGGGGAGCAGAAAAGGCAGACTGACTGAAATACACTGCTGAGGGGAGCAGCAGGTGAGATAGGAGAGGTCTGCCGCACCATGTGGGTAGCTCCCTGGCCGACTGGGGATTGAACTTGTGCTGCAGAGGCTGTGGATAGCTTCATAGGTTGCTTTTTAATCTCTTGTACCATTAAGTTTCCAATTTTTTAAGATCAAAACAGAACCCTCATGTAGTGCAGGGGGACCAGCAGTACTGGGGACTATCAGCCTCTTTCTACCAGCCCATGGGTGGCCTCATCCTCTGGCTTACAAGATCCTGCACCACCTGCAAGCATTCTATCTATACTTCAAGCAGGAACCACAGTGAACAGGGAAGCCAAAATGACATTCCACCAGATTTTGCCTACTGTTAAGAGTTTTTCCAGAAGCCCCACCTACCTGCTTATATTTACAACTCTTAAGGGAGACTGGTAAAAATATTTTTTTTGATCAATCATCAACCTGAACAAATCTGAGGTTCTATTGATGAAAAAGAAATGAGAAATGGTTTTGGGGTAAGCAAGTAGCCATGTCTACTTCAAAGGATACTAAGTTCTTACAAAAAAACATCAGGTTAACCTTCATTGAATTTCAAATAAAACAGTAATTAGAAAACTTTCATGATATGTTTATAGTCTTAAAGTTCTAAGTTTTGAAATGAAATTCAGCAGCATGTAAAGGAAATACGAGTATTTTACCATTTAATGATATATTTATTGCACACACTTTCTCAAGTCCAATTAAGGAATAGAAAAAGTATGTTTAAATTCTGAAAATGCTCTATAAAAATATCTGGTGGTTTTTCTATCAGGGAAGTGTCTCCTCTTCTGAAGATCCCCTGTTGCACGAGATGGGTTTAGTTAATAAGAATTCGTCATGGCACTTTCAAAACTTTCTCTCAAGGTTCTTTCAATTCTAAAGACTAGACAGACAGAAAATCTAACAGCACTGTGTTAGCTGCACACAGCCATCCTGCTGTGTATTCAGGTGTGCTCAGTCTTCCTAGTGGGGTTTTCAAGAGAAATGCTTGGGGATTTTCTAAGTGGGTATGATACACCTGTGTGGGCATTTTGAGAATTTAAAAGTTACATCAAAACATGGTAGAAATATCAGCTCTCACCCCAGTACCATTTATTTTAGTTTTATTCAGCTTATGTACTAAGTCAGAAAGTGCCTGAGCATATGATTAAGCAGAGCAGGCAGCTGCCACTGTGATGAAATTTGGGAATTACAGGAAAGACCTCCCCCACAGACATGCCGTTTTAATCCGTTGAGAGGGAGGGCTGCTAAGACACGTAAGTGTATACTGAGAAGAGTTCATTTCAAATTAATATTTTATAAGCTATTAATATTCTGAAGCAAAATAGTTTACCCAATTACTTATTATGGGAAAAGGCATTTAGGATAGAGGTGGAACCCAAAACATAGATACTGATAAGAGTAACAGGTAAAGTCTAAAAATAAAGAATGGGACACTATAGAGGGGACCCCAGACCATCTGGAACCAGGCTAGCCATGCCCAAAATGAGATTCTCAGGTCAAATGGGAAGTACGTGACCCACTCTGGCTGCTTTATACCCTTGCCCTGAAATTACCTGCAATGCTATAGCCTTTATCAGGAGGGAGAACTTCCCTTTGCTCTTTAATAAGCACAATTTCACAATTTTTTTATAATTCATGAATTTGTTATATACTAGAAACATAGTTAACAAAAAGTTCGCCTAATGAAAAAAAAAAAAAAGAGTATCATTTGGTAAACAAAATCCTAGTGTATTTGAAAGGCCCAAGATGGTAAAAAATAGAATATACAGCAAATATTACCAGTAGAGGGGAACCTAAAGTTCATTTGCGTATTGTTACCAAGAGTCATTTTAAATCATTGTAATACTCCTTTTGTAGTTAAAGCTTCAAGTGAATGAAATAAATTCTCCTTTTTCTTAAGGAATGCGTATTTGAGTACTACCTGATTTCTGTTAATGTCTAAATAGTCATAAACAGCTGTGTTTATAACAATAGTTTAAAGTCTTCTAAAGAATTATCTGTTAACTCATAGGAATTTGGACTATACATTAACAAATGTATACAGAGTTCTACTGTGGTCAAGAAAGGCATTGTTGTAAAAATTATAGAAATAGTGACAGGATCGGGCCTCCCCGGTGGCGCAGCGGTTGAGCGCTGGGTTGCGAAGCTGCTCGCGGCCTCTGCGACGCCGGTTCGATCCCCAGCTGCTCCCCGGCCACAGGAGGAGGGTCCCACATGGCGCGCAGACCTCTCCTGCCGCCCGCTGCTCCCCTCAGCAGTGTACTTCGGTCCTTCTGCCTGCTCTGCTCCCTGCTCTGGCTCTGGTGAATTCTCTCACCCTCCCACACTTCTGACTGTACCCAGTGCTTGTATAGATAAATAAATAAATCTAAAAAAAAAAAAAAAAAGTTTGAAAAAAAAGAAAAGAAATAATGACAGGATCACATTTGCTTTTCTCAATATGTTTAGAATCTAAACAGGTAATAAGACTAATATAACCAATGAGAATATAATGCAAATAATTCCAATTATAGTTGTGGTGATGAAGAAATGATCACTGGATACCTGGTTTCTGTGATGGGCTAAAGGCTTATCATGGTCCTGGTTATTAGAAACTGATGATGGAGGCCATTCTAGATCAAGGGACCCTGCATATAGGTATTAATGTATAAACCTAAGAATTCATAGTCCAGTTTGGCAGGAATGTAGTCCATTATAATGCAGCTGGAAAGGTAGTTCTTATTGTTAAGAGTTTAAAGTATCAGTTATCTATTTATAATATATCATATGCTGGTTATCGAAACACCTTTCTGAAGAGAACATGCCTCTGGCCTGTACAAGAATGTTTCCTCTGTCTTCATTACAGTGGGTAGATTTGGTGAATGTTTCTAACACATTTATAAATGAGCAGACAATGAAGTCAGCTTACATCTTCACCTGATTCCTGAATTCCCTCAAGATGTGCTTTTCCACTGTCTACTCCTTAGGCCTTTTTTTGGGCTCACCTCACTCTTAAGCCATCTAAGTCAAACAGTAGCCTCAACAAGACACACCTACATTTTCCCTCTTCATAACCATGTATCTGCTACTACATAATCTTATCCCACTCCTCCCTGACCTGTGTAGACTCAGGAAAGGATTATATCTGGTCACTTATGTTGATCATAAAACTACTGTAGGGCTGACTTGTACTTGGAGAGATGTTCCTAAAATCCTACTCCAGAAGATCCTTGTATCATTGGCAGGAGTATCATGCATTCAAAGTCTTTGGCAAAATGTTGAATTCAACACATACTTGATGTATCTAAAACTTTTTATTAAGTGTTCTACATTTACCTGAGTAATGAATTATAGCAGCAGCATAGGGAAAGGATTCGGAGCTTTGTAAACCATTAAGATCAAAAAATGTTATTCACCAATATTGTAAAGCTTCTGAAAAAAGGAAGTTTTCTCCTTGCAGCCATTCTAACCAAAGAAAGAAGACAGAAAGGGCTAAATAAGTGTTTTACATTTTGTCTGAAATTTTAATCTATTTGGCATTTTTCTGCACACAACTAAACCCAGAAATTTTTAAGGAGTTTACTATTTATTTATAGGTGCAAACCAGTTATGATGTGACACGCTATGAAAATATTTTTTCCCTGTTTTGGGTTCTGGAGCAGCTTCTTCTAAAGGAGACTAAAGAAGATAACAATTCAGATACAGGGCACAATGACCAAGAAATCAAGAAATTTCTTCACAAGCATGATGAAATTATTTTCCAACTTTCTGATACATTTCCTTTATTTACTTTTTATTTGTGGAGACTGGGAATTCTCTTAAACTCAGAAGGGAAAGAAACTTGAAAATAACTCTCTACTTTAGCAATATACAATTTCAGAAGCATATTAGCATACTAAGTTGAATGTGTGAAGATCTTTTGTTTAAAAGATTTTCAAGAATATTTTTAAATGAGCATTTTAAATCTATCTCAAATCCAATTATTAATTGAATTTAATGATGTTAAATTGTATATAAATGATTATGGATCACATTTCTATAACAATCAGCCTGTTTCAGTTGAGAATGCATTTGATTCTCATGTAACTACACCTGACAATATGTTACTTAAACATAGTTTTACTCTGTTATCTGAAATAAATCATTAGTTGACTATCTCATGAAGAGGTTTACATTTTGAAAGATTCCCATGTAATAGATTTAAAAGGTAAAAGAAGGCCTGTTTTGTTGCTTTATCAAGAGTAATAAGTGGTTTTTAAATGTCATTTTTAAAACATTTTCCTATCTACCTTCATTTGTATCATCTTACATCCTTTCATGTCTGTCATCATAGAGGGGACTGTGTCGAAGGAGAAGAGTTTTTAACATTTGGAAACCTAATGGCCTTTAATTAAATAAAACCAATGTATTAGTATTTACAAATTTAGTTATGTAAAATGTTCTATATTTGTTTTCAATAAATGTTTGTTTTCTGTTAATTATATGATATTCCAGTTATTGTTAAAAAGTAATTGTTCTGTGTAATTAATTCATTAAGGATATTTTTTACAAATTCTAACATCTGTCCAGAAATATATTTTATACTTATTAAAAGGATTGATTGAATTTTCCAGTTACACAGCTTCATTGACTATTTCAATTATAAAAATCATAACCAACTAGCTTAATGAGCACACATTATATACTTTCCTACAGCACAATTTGGGGCTTCACAAATTTGCTTTATTAATTAGGTGTGATATTATTTCATAAGTTAACTACATTCCTGAATGCCATCAGTATTTAAAAATAAAAATTAGTAATTCTATTCATAATGTATACAAAATCATTATCTGCCACAATTATTTTTTTCTCATAAAGAAGACGTCACCAAAGGCATAATGTTATAATTCGATATTCTTTTTTCCAAAGGCTAAGTATCAAATAAATCATGAGCATATATGAGCAACAGTAGGCTATAAACCAAGGATACATTTATAAATTCCCATGATGGAATTTAGGGATTTCATATCAAGTCGTAAAACATTAGTGGTAGAAGCCACCTAAGAGATCCCCCAGGAGCTGTCCCCAAAGGTCCCCACACACTGATGATACCATTATTTCCTAGGAAACCTGATGCAGAGAGCACCAGCTCCCAGACCTCATTTCCAGAAAACCTGACTTTGTATGGGATGGGAAATAAAATGTGTGCTGTAATTTTCTTTTAAAATTTCCAGGTGATTCAGATATGCAATTGGCTTGAGAACTGCTCCTCTAGATTAGTTCCATGAATTCTTCCTGGTTACTTAACTAGTTGCAGAGTTATACCTGGATCTGCCACATTTCATTTTAGGGTTATTTCAATTCCTAGAAAAGATACTGAAACTCAGTGATGCATCAGTCAGCTGTTTTTGCATAAAATCCACAAAATCTCAGTGGCATACAGCAAGATTTCTCAGGTGTCTGCAGGCCACTTGGGGATCAACTTAGGGTTGATCAACTTAGGGTTAATATTTCAGGATCTGAAATATCCTGAACACATTCTATAATTTTACTAATATTTGGTTCCTGGAAACACTTGTGTTGGTGATTTAACACAAAACCCATGGCATCGCCCCATCATCTGCTCGTCGCTAATGATTAGGTAAGGTTGGTAAATATACAAACTACAGCGATGGCCCCTTTCCACTGCAGCCAGCCAACATAATAATCCTAAGAAACATTTTGTAACTAGACAGATTTCTTAATTCCAGTACTCTTCAAAACTTCATGATCCAAAAATCACATTGAAGGAAATGTGTTCATTATAGAAGACACAAGAAGTTAGCATCATTGTTAATGGAGAAAATGGAGAGACACTATTTTTATTTGGTATTATTTTTACATAAGCATTAACTTGAGTCAGTTATATCATGCCTACCCCTTTATTATTCTGTTTCAGCCTATAACTGTGTTAACTGTGCAGTAAATTTAACACTGAGCTCTGAATCTCCTGCTGCTGAAAAAAAAAACTTTATCTATTTGCTTCAATAAAGCAGTGGAAAATAGAGAGTGAATGAATTAGATGAATTAAAAATACTGTAGAAATTTAGATTTGATTTATGTTTAACTTTACAATTTTGGGGATAAGACAAGTAGAGACAGTAGAAATTAGGCAGCATTGAAATACATTATACGATAGGCTAGGAAACAGAGGACACCAATGAACAGTTTACAAAATGGAAGAAATGATAAAAATGGTAAGTGCTCACTCATACAGTATTTATGAATAATGGTAAGTGCTCACTCAATAGTATTTATTGTACATGAAATATGTATAGATTTATTATATATCCATATTATACACAAATACATATTCTACATATAAACACATATTAATGTCAAGCACTGACTTAACATTTTACCTATATTAACTCATTTGATTATCCCAACAACTCTACAAGATGGGTAACAGTATCGCCATTTTAGAGATCATTCACTAAAACAAAGGAATGTTAAACAAGCTCATACAACTAGAAGTAGGAGAGTAAGGTTTCACTCCCAAAAGTTGTAACTTCCCAGCCCACATTCCTATTTACCGCTACAGTCTTTATTCAGTGTCAACTGTCCTGGCATTTAATGAAACTTTGCAAAACCAACACTTTGTAATTGTAATTAGAGCTTTTCGTACCATCAACTATGAATCTTATAGCATGACTGTTCATTATTAGCTTATTTTGAAGTCGCCACTCCCTGCAGAGCAGCTGTCTTATCTCCTATCATCTCAAAACTATAGCTTCTCTGCCCTTTTCTAGATGTTGTCCTTATTAGTGAAGACCTTTTAGGCAAGTTACAGATTATCTTCAACAACAATATTCTAAAAAAGTGCAGAGTTCAGTGGAATGGGGAGAGGAAATAAATTGAATAGCTTGTCCTTGTATAAATAGATGTGAATCTTTCACAAACTGTTGTAATTTTCAGTCATATTTCAATCAGAATATTCATCTCATTCCTGGAGATATGGTTTCATATAAATGGTAAATGTGTACTTATAGATATGTTATTCTATTTCCAAACCCTAGAGATGAAATTATATCTTCTTTAAATTCTTCTGGAACATGGTGAGATATAAATAATCAATGATTGCCTGTTCTTAACTCTTGTGCTTAATTTATTTCTACCATGTTGAGTCTTTACCATTTTACTGTGAGCTACAGACTTGCCCAAGGATAGCATCCCTGACATGATGAGGGAACAGCTATCACCACTTTTAGCTTTAACAGCTTAACTACGAAGGCATTTTTATGAATGACTAATCACTTCAGGAACACTAGAAACGCCAGTTACTCCGCCAGCAGGGAAAGGGATGTATTTGCTCATATTCCTCTCTCAAACACATACTCAAATTCAACATTTGTTTTGTAAAAAGAGGTCCAAATCTCTTGAAAATAATTCTAAGCTTCTGGAGAAGAAAAACCTTCTGCTTTCCTTCCTGGTCTTAATAGGATGCTTCCCCAAGCTGTGGCTGCACTGTGGTGCCTTTGTACCCTCACTTGAATGGAGGACGTGGCACAGGTTCTGAGACAGCCCTGGCATGGCCTTGCCCTCTGAGAAAGTTCCAGAGCCGGGACACTCCTCTGAGAGGAAGGACCAAAAGCCTTTAAAATGTATGGCTTGCATTCTTCCACTGTAACCCATGACCCAAGAAGTGAAGTTCACCACAGCTGACTCCGCGCCTCATCTTGCACTTGATCAAATCTTGGAAAGAACACTGGGCTGAGAGAATACATCCACTCCAATTATGAAACAAACAAATAAAATAGACCTAAACGTATATAGAAATGTGGGGATGTCTCCAGCTCCAAGTGAATGTACTGGTATTAAAAATAGTAATTTTTGAAGCTAGTATTTGACTCACAAGCGACTTTCCTTTAAAATAGAGTCTTCCATACATATGCAGTCCACATGGTTGACACTATCACTTTACTAAGACAGGTCATAATACCCAGAATTTATTGAGCCCCTGGAACGTGCTAGACACTATGTTTGTTTGTTTGTTTTTTGATAATATTTTTGCTTAATCCTTCAAACAATCTTATGAGGTAAATACATTATAATCCCCAGTTAGATCAGGAAGCAAGCATAGAGCATGTAAGCATGGAAATAATTTTCTTGTGGCCACATGACAAGAAAAACATCAGAGGCAGGATTAAAACAGGGAGCAAGCAACTAAGTCAACAGTATATACTCTGAACATTCAGCTACCCATGGCCGCCACATCCTAACTCTGTGGCAGGAGAACTGAGTGTGACGAGTAACATTTCCCAGACACAGTAACTCCAGTTTGCACACTTTTTTAGTGCCCTTTTACACACATGCAACATATGTATGTGATAATTATCACAATGAGAGATTTATACTCTAGTAAGGAAAATTGGGATGATTGAAATATTTCCTTATATTTGAGAGAATAAAAGTATATTAAGATGCCAGAATTTCCAATTTATGTCATTTACTTAAATGAAACAGATATGAATTCTGCTCTAGCATCTGATTATTTTGTAAGCTAATGTGAGTTACACTTTCTGAGGATAAAGCAAGTTAAATCTTCCAAAATGTAAGGCTCAAGATCAGACAGTCATATATGGATTAGTGTTAATTCCTAAATCTTAGACACGGAAATAAATAATACATGTGAAGATTAGTTTCTCTCTTCTGGCTCTAAAATCATTTTTTGCTGTTTAACTGTAAAGAAAAATCTCTATTTTATGGTTAGAATTGATCAATGTGATCCTGTAGATACTATTTGACATTTCTAAACTATCTTATGAAGTAGAAAATGTCTTTATAATTCTGAATATCACAGGGAGAAAACATGTAAATAAGGAATTAATTTAAAACATCAGATGATACCCTCCCCCCCCCCCAAAAAAAAAGAACTACGGGCAGCTTTTGTTCACTCATTTTCCTTAGACCTGAGGAAGAGATGTGAAGCCCTTCTCTTGGGCTCTACCCTGTCAGTCAGCACCACATTCCAGGTTCCTCTGAGAGGCTTTCCAGGTTCCCTACATTGAAGCAGTGAAGCCCAGGAGAGGAAAGGCTGCAGAAAGCACAAATGAAGGGAAAGTGGGTGCCGTGGGGAATAGAGGACAGAGAACAGAGGCCCATCATCAGCCTAGCCAGCTCGTGACTTAGGACAAGGAAATTAATAAGCTCATTTTCCTGTTATAAGATAGAGCATCTGTTTTTCAATTTTAAAGAGTAAAGAACAAAGAGTATATGTTATACTGCTAGGGAAACATGTTTCTTCTGAATTGTTTGCATAAATGATTAGACTAAAATTGTTAAATGTCACTACTGTTATTCCTGTTACTGCCCAACACCGGGAATTTTCTCTTTCCTGTCTTCATGAAGATCTTTCAGAGATATGTTGTTTTACACATTTAACATGGTCTAGAGTACTTGGAGTT